AACTGAATAAAATATAATTCTAATTTATTTTTTAAAGAATAAAGTTTATAAACAAAAACTGATATTACTTATGCCTCAAAATAATAATATGATAAAACATAATAATAACATAAAAAAACTGTTAATAAAATAAAATTGGTACTTTAATTTTTTAAGTCCATAAAATAAAATTCACTAGGTTATTAAAATTGTCATTATACATTGAAACATTATTATCTAATGATTAAAGTAACTGTTTGCTAATATACTTTTGTTATTACAAGCTAATGTTTTTATCTTGATTGTTACTGTTGATCTTACAGAAAAAAACATTTCAACCAAATATCTTCTAGCCATCATCAGGTCTCCATTGTTTTTGGCAGACATTTTTTCTGATTATTAAATTATTTAACTCTGTAATACAAGATTGTTTTCTTCTGCTGAACCTGTATTTTACTAACTGATACAGGGATTGAACACACAACAACTAGATAATAGTAACTCATATCTAACAAACTATTATATCCACTATGTCACCATCCCAAATGCTCATGACTATAGAGTGTTGAAACACTAGTTCTCATATGATCATAAAGTTAAGCAAAGTCGAACCTGGTCAGGAACTTAATGGTTGACTGCTTTGTAATACCAGGTGCTGTATGATTGGATGTGCAGGTGGTGTAATGGATAATGGTTCAGAACTGTTAATTGGAGAACAGAGTTCCAATTCTTTTTGGGCTTGTTATATTCACTTACGCGCAAATACTCGTGGGAAAGGTATGAATCCACTTTTCTCCCCCCAGATATGGATTAATTATTAAGTCTTGTATCACTAAGTCATTATTATCTCTAAAAAAAGAAAATTCTTACAATATTTTCTGGCTTTAAATAACCTGGAAAAAAAAGACATGGGAAGTTTGTTTTTGGAGCCTTTGTATTTATCTATAACCAGTATATATATGATGGATATATATATATATATATATATATATATATATATATATAAATGTCAATAACAAGGATGGGCAACCTTTTTAAAATAATGGGCCACATGAGATCTTGTTCATCATAAGGCAAGCCACACTACTTAGAAAAATTTTCAAGGTATTTTTTTTTTCACTGAAGGTTCAGCAGCCATTTTCACTAAAGACAATGACTGAGTCCACTTGTTAGGCTACTTTTTTGTTCCCAAATTTTCTGTTATAGTGTTTTCATGATGTTGATAGTTTCTTCACCTTTATGCTTTATTAACTCAGAGGGAATATTATCCACTATGGGTGACTTGCCAGGTTTCAAGCACTTTACTGTCAACTCAGCCTCTTCTATCAGTATTAATGGACTGGTCTTGTGTTCTTCTGTGGAGTACTGGTCACTTTGCAATATGGAGACATCTGGATGGGGCTGGTAATTGTATAAAGCATCACATTATTGAGTCCATCTATAGAGAACCTACTCACAGTTCATCAGCAATTTATCATTCTCATCCCCTACGACCATTGCTCGCTGTTGGCTGGTCTTAGCGAGGATTTGAGAGTATTGTAGGCCCGTTTGTTATTACTAGCAAGCATTTCCTTCAAAATGTAGCCTAAGGAGTGGACTCGGTCATTGGTATTACTCCTGCCAAAGAAAGGAAGCCTCAGACAGTGTGGAAATTATAGGATAATAAACCTGATTAGTCATCCTAGTAAAGTTCTGCTCTGTATCATTTTGAACCATTTGAAATCTAAGGCTGAAGAACTGCTATCAGAAGAACAAGTAGGTTTTAGAACCGGATGAAGTACAGTGGAATAGTTCTGCAGTTGTAGGATCTTTGTAGAGAAATACCTTCAACATCAGAAGAATGTGTTTCACAACATTGTTGATTTCAAGAAAGCATTTGATCTTATATGGAATTCAATGTAGTTAACAGAATTATCCAAGTCATCTAGACCCTATATAAAGATGCCAACAGCACAATTCTTCTGGGAAAGCAAATGGGAGGACTCTTCTGGACAATTGTCGGCATGAGACTGGGAGGCATACTTTCACCTATATTGTTCAACCTATTTCTAGAGAAACTCATGCAAGAAACCTTGAATGACCATGATCCTTCAATCTCTATCGGTGGCAGATGATATTGACCTTATAGTAGGTAGTAACTGTGAGCTCCAGGACTTGACCAAAAAACTTTTTAAAAGCACAGGAGTATAAAGAATGGAGGTCAGCTCCAAGAAATCCAAAGTAATAGTGTAATAACACAAACAGTAACACCATGAAGGGGAATTCACTAGAAGTGTCCAGTTTTAAATACTTAGGAGCAATGTTGTCTAAAGATAGTACCTGCAATTTGGAAATCTGCATATAGATTGCCACAGCCATGGCTGTGATGGCCAAATCAGCAAGAATATGGAGGAACATAATCAGCTTTCAAACAAAGCACAGAACATACAAAACATTGGTAGTCTCCATTTCCCTATATGGATGTGAAACATAGACACTGTTGGCAGATACAGAGAGAAGGACCCAAGTGTTTGAGAACAAATGCATGAGAAAACTCTTTGGCAACTTTTACTGGGATCATAAAATCAATGTGTTTGTGCAGAAAAGAGTTTGAAGTTTCGTGTACCACCAGGAACTTCTTCCCGTCACTGTCAAATGGAGAAAAATGGCCTCGTTTGGACATATTAGAAAGCACAATAACCATTGTTCAAGGCACCACTGAAGGTGAACACAGGAGAGGATGTCAATGTAAAAACTGGTTGGAAACAATCAACAGGTATGACTATACCAGAATTGGTGATGGCTGCCATTGATAGACCATTGTGGAGGAGATTTAGTATGGCTTCTGCATTACAAAAGTCAAGGGATGATGATGATGATACATTATTTTCCTCATGAAATTGGGTGCGTCTTTCAGAAATCTAAATGGATTGCACTTTGGCCATGACTGATCTATAATAACTAGAAATATATTGATAACTTCTTATATTGAAAATGAAAATTATCTAAAATATTTTTTAGTTTAATTAGACATCAAACTTTGAAACATAATTTTTAAGATATATTTTTCAAGATGTTATTTTTATAAAAACATTTTTAAAACTATTATTATTCTCCTATGTTAATTTAAACTGTTTATTAGCTTTTTTGGTTATCCAGTAGATTTTGCTTAAGTAAAACATATCAGCAAAACAAATTTTGTTCTCTCTGCAGAAACTCCTAGACAAGTTTGTAAAAGAAAGTGAAAAGGACTAAACAACAATTGTAAAAAGACAGAATTTATGATTGTCTGCAAAAGCAACAATCCAAGATGTGAACTATGAATTGGACATGCCAAAATCAAGTAAGTACAAACATTTAAATACCTTGAAAGCATTTTAACAAAGTACAGGTAATGTGATATTGAAACAAACCCAAAGGCACATTATAATAAGAGCAAGAGATGCCTTCAAAAAGGTAGGCAAATTATTAAGAAACAGCAAAATTCCAAAAGAAACAAAGAAAAGCATACTGAACTGTTATGTAATATTGGTAATCCTATATGACAGTGAATGCTCACATAAGACACTTGAAGCAATAGAAATCTGGTTCTACAGGAGGTTAGTGAGAATATCATGAAATGATCATATAACAAGGAAGTTTTAAGGAAAATAGAAACAAAAAGGAGACTTATACTGACTATCATGAAACAATGAGGAAAGAGGTGTTGGAGGTTTTGTAAACTCACAGGGTATATTGAGGTGACAGAGGAAAGTAGAAAGTAACCTATCTAATGAGCTTGTGTAAATGTGTAGCAGAACAGGGATTGGGAGAAATGCTGAAAAGACAGAGTTACAGAGGATGTAGAGAGCTATGATCACTTACAACCTGAAGAGAGATGTGTCATACCTGAACGTACCTATTCTATTATTAATAGACTCTCCCACACATAATAAGTAGTAGTAGTAGCAGTCGCCAGTTGGGCTCAGTGGTGTTGAGTGAGTCAGTCGATGTTGGACATTGAAGTATCAACCATCACAACTAGATTGCTGGGTCATTAACTCTTATTTCAAGTTCCTAACGTTTTGTACGTCGAACCTAATTTAGGACGACTTATTGAAATACAAGCCTCCACTGTGAAAACTACTCTACAGCAATATGGCACATAGAAAAAGATAAGCAGTTGTCCCTTATAAAATTTTGCCTCATCCTCCATATTCACCTGATATCTCTCCTATAGATTATCACTTAATTAAGCATTTTGATCTTTTCATACACAATAAAACATTCTCCAATAAGGAAGAGGTAATCGAAACATTTGAACTGTTTATCACATCAAAGGATGAGAATCTTTTTAAAGATGGGATCAAGAATTTAGAGGTACATGGGAGAACAGTCATTTATCAACACAGTGCCTATTTCAACTAAATAAATTAGTTATTTAACACTTCAGAAGCATGTTATTCATTTCCTATGAAGTGTGTCATTTCATGTGTGACAACCTAATATTAAATGTTTCCTTGTAAGGAAACATTTGTTATTCATTGACCAAGCTGCCAAGTGCTACTTTCTGCTGCAGTTAGAAAATCTTTCAACAACAACAATTTTTCAGTAAAATAGGTTTCTCAAGTCTAGTAGCTGTTATTGATCTTTCCAGTATTGATTGGTTGGTTGGTTCTATTTTTTGGCAGCATATCAATCTTTATGGGTTATTTAATGCCAAAATCTAAGTATTTTGTATGCAAATTTATTTTATTTTTGAAGATAATAATGATTTAGTTATACAAGTCTTACTAATTAACCCATAGCTGGGGGAGAAGAGAGTATTTGTATATAAGTGAATATAATGAACCCAAATAGAACTCTGCTCTTTGATTAACAATTCTGATCCATTATCCATTACCCCACCTGCAAATGCAAGCTTACAGCACCTGATATTTCCAAGTGGTCATCCATCTAGGAACTGACCAGGCTCAATGTTACTTAACTTTGGCAGTTGTACAGGAACCAGTATTTAGACATGATGCAGCCATAAGCCTATTCTTCTATCTGCACAACCAATCTTACAGCACCTCATATTTCCAAATGGTCACCCATCTAGGTACTGACCAGTCTCAACATTGCTTAACTTTGGTAATCATATGAGAACCAGTGTTTAAACATGATGCAGCCATAAGCCTATTCTGCCATCTACACAACCAAGCTTACAGCACCTCGTATTCCCAAATGTTCACCCATCTAGGTAGTGACCAGGCTCAGCATTGCTTAACTTCAGTAATCATATGGGAACCATAAGCCTTTCTATTATTGATGGAGGTTTCTTTCCTAAACTTTTGTTTGTAGTGTGGCACATTAACATCTTGATTATGTCATTATTTTCTCTTTTACTTATTTGTGATATCCATTTTAATCTTTGCTGATATTGGAATTTCTCAATTGATGTGGTTTCTGTTATTTAGCACCAGTTATTTGTTATTCTTTAATGAGTTTGTGAAAGGATGGCAGAATAGTCACAAAAAGGGTTGATGATAAGTCAAAAGTTACTTAGAGCAACAAAGGACAGGAAGTTGTGGAGAGTCATGATCTGAATGGTCTTGGCAGATAAAAGATTATAAGCTGAAATTAATATGCTATATCTATTATACAGTGTGTGGCAGAAATACCTGCCACATACACTTTTCAGAAATACTTCCTTACATAATGGTAAAACATTAGCTAGATGAAGACATCATTGCCACTAATGTCTTACCATTATGTGGTGGGTATTTCTGGTAGTTATTTCTGCTGTACACTGTATCAATATTCTGAGAATACCATGACTAAACATGTTATTTAAGATGAAGTTTTAGAGAAAATGGAAACAAAAAAATACTTAACATTAAAAAGGAACAGTTGAAATTTCTAGGGCATATAATAAGGTAAGAAGTCTTGGAAAATTTGACACTCACAGGACATATTGAAGGTGCAAGGGACAACCAGATCAACAACCTAATGAGCTTGTGTAAATGAATGGCAGAACAGGGTTTTGGAAAGATAATAAAAATACAAACTTTAATAAGAAAGGGCAGAAAATTGTGGTGAGCTATGATCATCAATGTCCTGAAGAGATATGGCAATATATATGTATATACTGAGAATTTTACCAATATCAGTTCATTCCAGTTTTGAAGTGCCAGACTTGTGGTTCTACTGATGAATGCACAAAATACAATGGAAAATGTCATGTGAACAAGATGTTATTTTAATTTTATTTTGTTATTTCATCTTTTAAATTTATCAATGACCCTCTTTGTTAAATTGTGATTGAAAAGCTAGATGCTTAAGGGCATTTTACCACCTTCTTCTTTTTTGGTAGTAATTTTAAGAATATAGCCACTTCTTCCTGTGTTTTTGTGCCAACAAACAGTGCATTTACTAAGTGGATTACTGCTATGAATACTGAATGATACTTCAGAAATTATATCTAAATTCTTTGCGATATACTAAATATACTCTTGTACTGAATTCCTTTATTAAGGTATACTAAGAAATATACATTACTTATATTCATTGATTGCATCAAGGTGATGCCTTAAAGCCTCTGCCAATTCAAACCCAGTGGCCACAATAGCAGTGGTCAAGGTATTGATGAATAGAATTAGGTCATGATAAAAGATGATGGTAGAAAGAGCAAGCATTATTGACCTTTACCTGCTATAACAGGATATGAACTGCTCTCGGACACTGGAAACTGACAGGTGAAATTGATTTTAAGTCAGGTTGAAGATGGCATTAATTCGAGGTAGGTTGCTAGCCACATGATTCTTGGGATTTACTGACATTATCCAGCCAATGGTTGAATAAAAACGGTTGGTATAACAGTATCATAGTAATCTAATAGCCTTTCAAAATTATTGTTTTAAAATTAGAATGCCATTATCTTGCAAATTCAGGAACTTTTGGAATTAAATTTTGGATCTTATGATTTTTAATAATAATTTTGTGAAAATTAAAGAATATTTAAGAATAAGTTTTGGAACATGAGATGCCTTTCAAGAAATAAGCAAAGTATTAAGGAATAAAGAAAAGTCATTATCAACAAAGAAGAAAATGTTGAACTGGTATGTAATATTTAATCTCCTCTTTGGCAGTAGATGTTGGAAAATCTCCTCAGGCTGTGCAGAAAGCAAAGCAAAGTATTAAGAGATAGGAAAATAAAGTTATAAACAAAGAAAGCAATTGTGAAAGTCTATGTACTATCTAATCGTGTCTATGGCAGTGAATGCTGGATATAAAAAAAACAAAAAAACAAGGGTAATTTTTTTCTGTACCAATACATTTCGTTCCTTGAAGCACTTTATCAAAGTAAATTAGGAGATTGAATTTATACATAGAAGTAACATGGAAGGAAAATATCAAGTTTTTCAAATTCTGAATTTGAAAATACTTTAAAATATTCTTAAAATTTGCTGTTTAAGGAAATATAAACAGTAGAGAACACAAAGTGATGTAATTTATTGCCTAAAAAACGAAAGTGAGTAAATGTTATTAAATTTTTTTACACACACACACACACACACACACACACACACACACATATATATATTGGGTGTAACAGCAAAATTGCCTAAATCCTATAACAGCATAACTGGCCATCCCACAAAAATATTTAATATCTAAAAAGACTCACTAAACTAATTAAGTTTTTTACCAGGTTTTCATATAAGATATTTAGCCATCTTGATACCATTTAATCACTGAAAAATCCTTTAAAATATTCAGATAGAAAGAGAACAGGTTAAAATCATTTTGAGTCGGCCCCATTGTCTTCCAAACTGAGCAACTGTGTGAGTAAAAAATCATTCTGGCCTTCAGTAATGGTACCAACATTCATATTCTAACTTCCATCTATAAAGTCCATTCAAGAACCATCAAGAGAATGGTGAATAAGTTTAAAAAAGAGGGAACAGTAGAGAAGAAAACTAGATCAGGAGGTCACAACAGGAAGAGGGATCATGATTTCAGCTTAGAGCTAAAGCGATCAATTAGAAAAAATCAATCAATAAGATGTTTTGCATGTGAGAGAGGAGTTTTAGCTATGACAGTCCAAAGAGCAGTGAAAAAAGCCTTGAAAATGAAATCATATGTGAAACCTGTGAGGCACGTTTTTACTCCAGGACAGCGAGTTAGAAGATTAGAGAGGGCGAGATCATCTTGAATAATTTTCGAATATGATCCTGGAATAATATATATTTGAACTGTATTTCAATCCTTCATGAGCTTCTGATCCTTAGCTATGATTAATTAATGATGAACCTGTCATTTTTCATTTATGCTCAATTTCATCACAATTCTTCTGTTAAGCTAGGAGAGCAATTATTCATTCTTAATGTTCAAAGTAGAGTTCAATAGTGTTATAAAAACCTCGGAAAATTCCAGTATGATATCTTTAATCAACAGTCTAGAGCATAATCTAACAATTGGACAATTTTACTGTTACACCTGATGTGTGTGTGTGTATATATATATATATATATATCTGTGTGTCTGTGTGTGTATGCATATATAGATTTAAATAAATGTAATCAAAGATTAATGTTTGTTCATACATGCGTGTGTGTGTGTGCGTGTTTGGAATGTAAAATGTTAAAAAGTTTCTAAAAACAATACAGCATAAATCAAATATTGACTCAAATTGTCATATAAAGTCAGCAAGAACATTAGTTAGAAAAATTACATCAGAAGGGAGAGTAAATTTTTCATTTGTATAATCAAATGGGGGTGGGGATTTCAAGTCTCATGCTACCCCAATAACTTCTCCGGAATCATCCACCCACTTTTGTACATTGTTTTGATTCTGATCTCTCTTCGAAGTGAACGAGTTGAGGATGACGGTGCCGAGAGCTACCTACCTGGCATATCCCCACTCAATCATTCGTTAGAACTTAGGGACATAGCCATTTCTGATCTGATTGAATAGCAAAGGTCAGGCCGGGATACACAGGCGCACACACTCACATATCATGGATACTGTTGAGCAGTTCAGTTTAATAGGACTAAAAACTGCCATAAATCTTGATTATACACCAGTTGGTTGGCTGCTGTCTTTGGAGTCAGATGCACATCGGAAAGGTAATGGTTGATCAGCTGCCATGGGGTAGAGAGCTCCCCAGTCCTTGCCCCCATGTATTAATCTCATCCATATGCAGATAGCTCAAGAATAGAAGGCTTTTCTTATTGAAGGACATTAAAATCCCATTGCAGAGTAATAGATTAGATTTGATGGCAAATACTAGCCCTGTTTGCTTCAATTCATATCTCACAGTGTCCAACACGACCTTATCTCTCTTGCTTAGCTCTATTACTACAACTAAGATAATTCAACCAGACACAGCTACTACCGCCACCATCATATCTTGTCCATTAGGAAGGCATGATTTATGCTTTATGACTGTAATATACTCAATGTCAGTTCACTCATAGCTGCAATTGTTTCTGTACTTACTAACAAACAGAACAAAATATTTCACTTATTTATTTGAAAATATTTATCTGGTTAGCATGTATAATGGTAGAATTATATCATTATTTACATTATTCGGACTATTGTCCTCATCTTTGTTGCTATATTTATTAAAACGTTTCAGCTGTTGTATTCTCCAGCCTTCTTCAGGTGATTGGAATGTTGAACTGAACCCTTTATTTCACTCACTGGAGGAGACTGTTCTAGTTCCACGTGCCATGTTTAATGGATGTCAGTTCGACATTCCAACCACCTGACGAAGGCCAGAGCGTACAACAGCCAAAACGTTATAATAAATATGGCAACAAAGATGAGGATAATAGTCCGAATAATTTAAATAATGTACATAATACCTCATCTTAGAAATATTGACAGAATTATATCAGTTAGGCCAACAGAATTTCATAGTCATGTATTGGTACCTTTACCAAACTTAACTATATGACTAATTTTTTATTTTTACTTTTACTACCTAGGATTGATTGATTTATTATTTATGGCTTATCAACCCTTTGCAGGTAAGTTAAAACCTGAAAATATTTTTAGAACGTAAGAGGTTTTTGGATACGATGATTTACTAATACAAGTCTTACTAATTAAGCTATAACTTATAGGAAGGAGAAGAGGTAAATTCATAGCTTTCCCAAGGGTATTTGCACATAAGTGAATATAACAAACCTGATTGGAATTGGAACTTACCTCTCCAATTTCCAGTTCCAAGCTGTTATCCATGACACCACCTTCACATCTAAGCTTACAGCAACTGGTATTCTCAAGTGGTCATCTATC